ACTAGAATAGAGGTCACAAATATCTATTCTCCTTCCTATAGACTTCTCATTTGTTTTCTTCCCTCAATATCACATACTTATCATGCTGCAAGTAGACACATTCTCTTCTTCCTTTGCTGCATCACATTCACATTCACTTGAGACTATCACTTCAGCTTTCTCTTCACTTTCGTCGTTTACTTCAAGTGGAGTGGGGCCCACCATAGGTACAAGAGGTCCTTGTGGGTTCCCAAAAACTACGCCAAATATCTGCCGATGGCATTCATCGCAAAAGTAAAAGTACGTGAAATGGCCCTCGTACGGGAGCTTATGCAGCATAACATCCGGCAAGACTCGCTGCACAAAATCGCTCATTGATGGAGGCACGAATCTGTCTTCAGCTCCCTTAATCGAATGAAAAATATATCAAGAATTAATGGGTTTTCGTTAAAATAGTATACCCACCCGTAAAGTTAGAGTCTTTTTTAACTGCAAGAGGAAAGTGTTAAATCGGAGTATATAATCAAGAATGGTTTTTCGTTAAAATAGTATATACCCCGTAAAAGTTTAAGTCCTTTATAACTGCAAGAGAACAGTGTTAAATCCGATCAATAATGGGTTTTCGTTAAAATAGTATACCCACCTGTAAAGTTAGTCTTTTTTAACTGCAAGAGAAAAGTGTTAAATTGGAGTATAATATCAAGAATGGGTACTTCGTTAAGATAGTATACCCACCTGTAAAGTTAAAGTATTCTTTAACTGCAAAGAGAAAGTGTTAAAAATCGGAGGATATATTAGAGTAAAAAAGTTACCTGCCATATGTGTATCGGGCCAAGTAACCCGCCGAGTTGTTTTTCTGAGGGACTGTATACCGATTTAAGCCAACCGAGAATGCTACTGCCTTTTTTTTTACTCTGCATGTTGAGTTCTGCTAAGCTGAAACCCCAATTCGAGATCTGTAGAATGGCTTCTTCAACAAACGGTTTCACATTCGCTTGCCGAACAGATTCTTCGACATCTCTCTCCCAAAAGTCTTTGAAAATTCTGGTCTCTACAATGGCTCTATCCTGGAAAAAATCGAAAGTTTATTATCAGCTTAACCGAAATCAGTATTTCTTTCTACAGAAAAAATTATTGGCAAACACAAAGCCCAAGTGGTTAGCTTTTTGAGTGTTGATGGACATGAGAGGAAACCACAATCACTAATAAAGGTGGAAATGTAAGTGCGTTAGTAATGAAATTTGCACGAAATTGTATAATAATTGGCGTTTATTTAAAAAAATTGTGCTAATGAGGTGGAAGAGAAAAGGTTAGAGCGCGTAAATTGTGTATCCAGTCACATACTTTTGAGAGAAGATTTCTGTTTAGTGGAATTAAAATGATATATATTTCTTTTTAATTGCACTTTTAACTTTTTCTTCAATGTTAATGTTAAGAGGGTGCTTGGATATAAATCATATCAAATCATTTTGATCAATAACTTTTCTAACTTAAAATCTAACTCAAATATAACTCAACCTAACTCTCCTGAATACTATCAATATAATTAAATAATATCAACTCTCACATCACACCAGCTTTAATTTACTATTTATCCCCTCACAAAATTTTAATTACTTGGAACTTCCAATCACATTGCTCCTACTTTTACATCAACTTTAATCATTTTATATTAAATTACATTTTAATACAAACTCAAAATTCCACTTAAACCTAACTCAACTAACTTTTAAATGCAAAAATTGTACGGGTTTTAAATTTAAATTACTTGCCTTGTTCCCAAGTGAGAGATATAGCAGCTGATCTACCGGCCCATGATTTCCAGATAGGAAACTTCTCCTATAGAAATATGGAAGTAATCTGTGAAACTTCCGAGCTAAAAAGTACATCAGCTTTCTCTTTACTGTCCAAGTCCCCCAGATTCTTCGTCTCTCTTCTTTAGTCAATCTCGGTTCATACGGATTCACCATTGGTGCAAACATTATAGCACCTGAAAATTTGAGAACAGATAAATCGGGAGTTAGAACATAATAGCATAGGAAAGAGGAAAAAGATGATTGTGATTCCAAATTTTGATAGAACAAGTCTCAAACAGTAGTACAGTACTAAGATATTTGAACCATCAAGTTTTTATGTAATCTGTACAACTTAACACGATCGTTTTTCAAGGAATAGAATTAGAAGCCAACTTACCCATAAAAACAAAAATCTCATGGGATGTAAAAGAAGTTAAAAGAAGTCAACACAACTAAAAAAAACCAATCAAAACTCAAAAAAAAAAAAAAAAAAAAAATGTAATGAAGAGCTGATATACTCTTCTAGTAAGCAGATTTACCGGCAATTCTATCAGGAATGTAATGAAGGGCAGCCCAAGCATGTTTGCTTCCTTCTGCATATCCCAAAACCCAAAACTTGTCTGTAATATTCACAGCATACGACAAATGTAACATATCCAAAGCCGAAGACTCGAGGTCCCTATGAGGATGAGCATCACTTTCTCCAAAACCCGGTAGATCATAAGTCACGAATCGAACACCAAAGCTTTGTAGTAAAGTATCTTTCAAGCCAGGTATCCCTAGCATNCAAAAAAAAAAAAAAAAAAAGAAAGAAAAAAAATACTGCACAACTTTTCATTATACCTGCTAGACGGGAAGAAAGAAAAGAATGGGGAACAACAATTGAATATCTCGCTTGTTCGGGCGACACACCTTGCTCTTGATAAGCTAATCTTCTTCCATCTGGAAGCAATATAAGGCTAGCACTAGTAGGATGCACCTTCATCTTTCGAACCAATGGATTTGTTACGGGCTGACTAATATTCACTATTAAAACTGCAAAATTTGCTTTCTCTGTCAGTTGAGAGAAACCGAGAAAAGATATTCATTACATGCACAATCTGTATCCACCGATTGAAAAAGAAAACTCTTGGAACTTTTTTCATTTGAAGTCTAAAGTCAATTTTTTTTAACTCAATTAAAGTCTAAAGTCATTTTTTTTAACTCAATTAATCCAATTTGAATATTGCATTAATTTGATGCCAATCAAAGAAGACAACAAATTACTAAAGTTCATCTTGTTGTATATGAATGAAGAAATTATAGAGCAAAAAATAATTGGCAGCTATTACTTTCACAATTTCACCTCCTAAGGCCCTTTATGCACATATATGTTCAATGCTTAAACAAAATTATTAATATATCAAGACCTATTAGTCAACATTAGATTTAAGAACCAATAAAGCCAAGCATTTCATTAAATCTTTACTGGAATTTCATGCCAAAAGAGCCAATGCAAAACTGAATCTAAGAGAAAGATTAGAACAACTTCAAGAAAATGCTGTAGATTTTGCTAACACTTTCAACAATAGGATAAATCATAAACAACAATTAATATAAGCTGTAACAGACAAAGGAAAGCCAATAAAAACCCAAACACAGAGTACAAAACTAGCAATCATGAAAATCATATTTCAGACAAACCAAATCAAAATTAATGTCAATAGCACAACACTCAAAAAACCCAATTCCCAATGCAGATTAACATCTTCCCCAAATGTACCTCCGTTAGAGCTCATGAAAAAATAATTAAACTCAGGACTAAATATTAATTAACAATAAATAATAATAATAATAAAAAAGCATCACCTGCTAGAACTAAAATCCAGACAGAAGCAATTACAGCCCAAGCCTGAGCCGGATCACGGTCCTCCGGCAGATACTCATTCAGAAACCTCAATTTCCCCAAAATCTTCACGCAGGGGCCCTTGAACTTCCTCACAATTACCGAATCGTCCCTCAATATACTCTGCCTCACCACATCCCTCACGCCCTTCCCAAACTCCACGCTCATCTCAGCCGCCCCTTTGGCGAACTCCGCCGCCTGAAACCTCCAGTCCGCCGCCGCAGCTCTTCCGCCCACGGCGTCGAGGGGAGGGCTGTAGCTGTACCCATTATTAGCTTTTCCGACGACTTCCTCGTCGTCCATGAACTCCCCCCTCCACCCAGACGACCCGTTGACTTCGGACATTAAACGAAAAAAAGTTGCACGCTTTTTGACTGCTGATCTCGACACAGATTCCAACAATGGCGTCGATCCTAAGCTGACCCCAGATTTTTCCGCACAATCATCATCGAGACGAGACCAAATCCAATCATAAAATACTTGCACAGTATAAATAAATAAACAAATAAAGTTAGAATTTTTTCCTTAATTAAAAGATTTTCTATATGACGGCTGATGGGATCTCGCATCTGTACACAAGGGCACACTGAATAATCAGTATATTCATTTGGGTATTTTGAAAAAAACACCCCATTTTTTTTTAGGTTGCTATGATTGCGATTGCGAGTGTATAAATTGTAATGTGCATGAGCTGGTTCAGTACGCCATTGATGGGCGTTTATGGGGGGAGGTGGGCTGTAATTTTCTGAAAATGCAGGGGTGTGAGGGAGCAAAAGGTCAGAATTCGGCCACGTCAGCAGGGTTTGGCGTCACGCGGGGGGCGGCGGTGTGGTGGTTGCGTCGTGGCGGGGCCCGCCGTGGGGTTGGTCGGGCAACCGCTCTCTTTTGTGATCAACAGACGTTTCAGGGAAAAAAGAAAAAAATCAGAACTTTACTATAAATATTAATAAATATTAAATACTTGAAAATTTTCTATTTTCTCTATCCTCTACTTATATTTACTAGTATTCGATCATGTGCATTTGTACAGATATAAATAAAATATTATAAGTTATTTATATATGTGTAGTATTAAAACTATAAAGTAGATAATGATATTAATATTTAAACATAGAGTATTATATGTTAAATTTATGTATATAATATTAAAAATTTTAAATATATTGCAAAACCATTTTGGAAGAGGGATTTATTCATGGGATTTGCTTTTTTAAAATATTTGATATATTTGAAAAAATATTTTTTTATTATTGTATGACTGCAATAGAAAATAGAGATATTTGTAGTCATTATTAATTAGTTGTGAAATATGAATTTATATAATACCAAAATATATATAGTATTAAAATAAAAATAAAAAATTTTGTATTTCAGCATATAAAAATATGTTATAGAAATGGGCACCATCTATTTTTATTAAATGAACTACTATTGTTATTAATTGCTGGCTGAATAAAATTTAATGAAGATTGCCAACAATTATATATATATAGATTTTTCCTTAAAACTTTGACATATAAAATTTTAAAAGTAACAAAATTGTCTTATAAAGTACACACAAAATTGATATTTTACCTTATTAAAGTTTTATTGATATAAAAAAGTTTTTAACTCAATAGAACTTTGAATTGAACTTATAATCGATATAGGACTTTTGAAGGCATGATGAGACGGATAAAATGCAGTATGATTTATCTATTCTTGATTGTTATTTCGTTGGTAAATGGTGGATTGAAAACGAGAGGCACCATGAGTACATTAAAGAAACTCGATTTCCCAAATTCGTATGATCCTCACAATATTCGAATTTCTACAAAAGTTGTTGAAAAGTTTACCAGATGAGTTTTTCTAACAAGATATGTCTTAATTAAGAAAATTCAACTCGAATTTCGTTTAGTAGCCCAAAAAAATAGATATATATCACTTTGATTAATTAGTGATTAGAATCCGAATAATGAATTTTCACTAGACATACCTTGTAAAAAATTCATTTTATTAGCTTTTCAACACCACCTCTAATTTAAAATCAAATATTTTGATTATAATAAGAATGGAGTCGATATCGACAAATTATTTATCAGTATAACCGTACATCTTT